TGAGCCTCAACACCATGTTCTTCAGCTAAACTCAGCTAGATAGAGCAACCAAGGTAGCTAGCTGATCAAGCTTCAGCTTAACAGAGTGTGGATGTCATTTTAGAGACTTTAAGTGTTAGTAACTGATAGAAGTTAGTTGGATTGAAGAGAGTTGTAGATGTGTGAGTGTTGAGTGTGTGAGTGTGGTATGAGTGAATGATAGAAGTTGTTAGTAGTTAATTTAATTTTTTTTTTCTTTTTTGATAGAAGTTAATTAGTTATATTTTCTAATGCATTTATGTTATATCAATTATTTTTAATGAATTGAAAAATAGTGCTTCTTATACATCGGTGTCCCTTTCGCACAGTTTGAAAAATAAAATAGAAAAGATGAAACCAGAAAACTAAACACGTAGGATAATTTGTAAATTTCCACACAGTTTGATCTATGACATGTAGAGAAACTTCGTTACTTTTCAAATGAACTTGCGCCCATCAACATAAATTTATAATTTTGGATGGGATTCAAAATTTCTTCTCTGTTTTGCCAGTTCAAACTAGCCTGCCTCTGAGAAGTTTCAATTCATCTAAATTTATTTATTTTTTTTAACAGAAATTTCGTTAGTTCATGATTTCAATTTAGGGGTTTATGGGTGATGCTATGGTACATTTGGATGTACCATACATCAGTTATGAGATTATGTGATTTGATATCATAACTAATATCATATAAATCATAACTATTCTCATATTAACTCATAACTTAGTTATATTTAGTTATTTATATATACCATATTATCTTATAACTATCATATAACTAAATTATTTTAATAATTTAATTTTGAATTGGCAACCGGTCTAACCGGTTGCCAAACAGAGCAAAGTAAATCAGAAGTCCAACGGTCCCAAGCCAATTGCCTCCCTCTCTTGCTCTGCTTCGTGCTCTTGCTCTTCTCTTCTCCTCCTTCCTCTGTTCTACCATAGCCGAAGCTGTAGCGATTGCCGAAGTCCAACGGTCAAGCGTCGGGGCCACCGTTCTTCACCTTTCTCTTCTCTTCCACCGTAGCAGAAGCTTCCGCCATGGCCAAAGACCACCAGCCCCGTCGGCGATTCACGCCAACGTTGTCGACATCTTCTTCACAAGCCTTCAATCGGTTCACGTCTCCACCATGGGTTTGTCAGCAAATATTTTCCCTTCTAGTCGAATTGAATATTTACTAGAGCTCTCTTCTGTAGGTCAGGTATGTTCCTATTTACAGCCACCCAAGATAGCTGTGCCATTGGGGCTTTGATTTCAAAACCCTAACCCTTATTGAATATCTAATATTAAGGTTTGTTCTCAGTCAAAATTAACATCTGTAACCACCCAAGATAGGGCTTTGATTTCAAAACCCTAACCCTAAAAAGTGAATAGCTGATGATATTAAGTTTTGTTCACATTGAAAATTAACATTGGTTCTCAATCATATTGGCATTTGTTTAATTGCTTTCTCTTTGCTATAGTGTAACGCCCTCAAAATTAACCCATTAAATATATCATTGACATGCATTAATTAAAGAAGACAATTAATTAATTCATTCATCAGAGTATTACTAAATGAAGCATTACATATAACATCGAATCAAATGCCCTACAGGCTTACATCTCTCCAAGCCAACACTTGGATTCAAAAATATGAGTTCTAATCTCAATACAAGAAAAGCCCTAGGTAGTCTTCTTCAATCCAGAAGCCAAACCCTCCCAAGCTAAGTCTTAAACAAACACTAATTTTAACATAATAATGTGTAAAAGAAAATTTATAGTAAAATAATATAATCTAATTGGTGTATTTACTTATCTTAAAATGACTTGTGGATCGAGCTTGAATGGTGTTGTTTGATAGAATAATTTATCTGGGTCTTGTTTTGATAATATGATTTTGTTATGAAAACCAATAGATATGTAAGAAATTGTAGACCTTGTTTGAGTTTCTGATTAATATGTTGGAATCAAAAGAGCCTTCTTGGATTGTTTAGTACTTCTTGATATGAAATTTTGGATTTGAAAGTTGTGTGCAAGATTAGTGTGATATGGGAAAACCCAACTCATCTTAACATTCTTGTTCAAATTAGAGTTTTATCAAAATTTTCCAAAAAATATGAATAATTTTTTTTTGATGAATTATTTTCTTTCAACTTAGGCTAGTTGAAGACAGGTGCAACCAATTTTCTTGATGAATTCTTCAAAAATTATTATCTACAAAATCATTTCGTTGTGTGTATGTGTATTGTGATTTTATTGAACCCTTTGATAATGATAATCTTGAACATTGTTTACAGATTCAATGATAATACTTCTTGTTTACCCATTTTTTGGTTTACTGGAAACTTACTTTCCTATGAGAAATGTTACTTTCTCATATTTGTATATTTATGATATACATATATGTATGTATGCGCGCGCACACACACAGGGGTGACCATTGGTTCAATGGTAAAAATCTTAGCCTAATAACCTTGAAGTTATGAGTTTAACTCTCGAGGTAGCCACTCTGTGTACTATGTCAAAGGTTAGGTGTGTATCCAATCTTTTCCTTCCCCAACACATGTTAATGTGTACTATTTGGGCATTGTTTATATATATATACACACATAGAGATAGCATATCATATGCATATAGGTATGTATATATGCATACATATAATCTACCCTTATACCCATTAGTTTTCTTGATTGTTTGTATCAATCTTTAGACCTTGAAATCATATATTTAATAAATTAGTAATTATATCTCTTGTATTAATTTTTTTTTTTACCAATTTTAGATTTACAGTGAATCTGCAGTGTCTAATTAGGTAGCATAATGAGGAAATGAGGAGTGGTACCTGGAGGACCCAAGACTAATAGCCCTTAGTAAATGTTTTTGTGTTACCTACTCTTCAGGGAAACATTATTTGACCTTCTCTCTTGACTTCTAAGTTAAAGTTGCTTTTAAATAGCAACTTTTGTGGTAGTATGCCATTTGTTATTTCTTTTGTTTTCAACTATTCTTATTGAAATGTTAGTACCTATGACTCATCAATTATGCCAATAGGCCATTGACAGAACTTACCCATGCTTTGGAAGTTTGGCAATGATTGCAATTGCAAATTAAAACCTTTCAATAGGTATGGCAAGAAGAAAAAAATTTAATTATAGTTTTGGAAAATATGTCTGCATCACTTGCATGTTCTATTCATTTGTGCTATTGCAGATTTTGTACTTTTTTCTTACAGAAAACATGTTGCTATTGTTTGATTATTGAAAGAACAAGGTAAAAATTGACTTATAACATAGTCCAATTATTTGAAGATGGTATAGAGCATCTTGGATGTGGACTAATGGGAATTTGTGCTCCAATTCAACATTCTAGTGTAAGTTGTAGAAATGTTTTATTTTAATTTTTAGTCAAAGCCTTTTGGATTCCATTTTAAAATAGTATTTTGTATGCATTGAACGTTGAAAGCATATGGCCTTTTTTTTAAATGTGCCTTTTGGATTTCCCGAAATCTCGAAGCAATCAATGTTGTATGGTACATTCTAATCGTGCTTTATTTATATATTTTGTTACTTAACAACTATCTTTCTAGAGAAAAAAAATGCATACATTGTTGTGCTAGTTTCTAGAGCGGGATTTGCCATCTAGAGTCTGAGAAGAGTAGGGTTTGCCTTTCAAAGTCTTTAAGTATGGTGATGGGTGCATAGGTGTGGCAGAGATGCTTCTGGATTTCATCCTGTATGGGGGTGGAAGGAAGGGATCTGAAGACCATTGGGCAAAATGTGAAGGCCCCAGTGAGGTATCAGAAGCATGGTTTTAAATTACTGTATCGACTAGTGTAATGGTCACTGTTGCCATGGAAATTAAACCTGTGAGAGAGAAGGTTCTTTTCTGTTGGTGCAGGTGTATGTAGGTAATAAAATTTTCATTGAAAATAAATATGTAGAAGACTTGGAAGACCTATGGGAATGGAGACAATTGTGAATAGTTGACTTTGTCCTTGTGTAATAAAGAGTTCAATTAGTAGTCTTGGCTCTTGTGCTATGTTACATGGACTCATTGTGTGTCCAAGCGTCAGATGTTCTTAAACTAAATCGTAGGATATTAGGATATGCATTTAAAAGGTAGGTATGGATACAGGGACACGTCTTAAACACGCATATATTGCATAATATTTTTAAACCCAATTTATTTGGAAATGTATTTCAAATTAAATGAGATTTAGGAAAAATATGGAATTTATGTCTCTCGTTCGTGTGAGAAGTTAGAAATGTTTCTGTACTAGCAAAGGTAAATATATTCTTCAAACATCATATAAAATTAGTTGATGCAAGTAGTGAAATTGGATACTATGTTGTTGGACACATATCCCCAATCCTTATGCTTGTAATGTTTGGTGGACATGGTATAGTAGAAGTGATAGAGTCCATGTAACATAGGTCTTGTCAGAGAACAGGAGTGAGAGCTGTGGAGTGTTATATATACTATATTTGGGCTAGAGGTTCAGTCACCTGTCCTTGAATCTTATTTTTAGTATTCAAATAAAATCATTTCCAGTATTCTCTTGTATGTCTTCCTCAATGGATGTAATAAAGAGTGCAGTTTTCCTTTTGTGACTTAGCTACAATCTAGGAAGCACAGACATGGACACGCTGCACAATTTGGACATGCTGACACAACAATTTAGGAAACAAATGCTTGACATGACAAACGGGTGACACGCACTAAATATGGGATTTTTTTGATATTTAATTTATGTTTATATATATATATATATGAATATTTCATCTAATGATGATAAAAAAATATCACATTAATTCCTAAACTCTAAAAGAGGAAGAATTAGTAGGTATAAATCTATGTTTTTGTTTTCAAGTTATTTTCTTCAAACTTGTAATGTGTTTGTCAGTGTCTTAACTGTGTTTGGGTTTAAAAAAAATGACAGTATTGGACGTGTGCGCGACATGTGTTGTCAGTGTTCGACATAGACATGACACCTTATAAGTGGTCGTGCTTCTTAGTCTATAATGGTAGTTTTGTAACGGGTGAAAGCTCTGGAGTTCTATGCAAGTTTTATTGGGGCTTGAGGGTCGACCATCCCTTCGCGAAGCTTGTGTTCAGAATTCCAATAAAATTTTCTCTATATTCTGTTGTCAATCCTTTGTCATGTTTCCTCCTTTGTGGTTTTATATAGCTAATCAAAAAAAAAAAAAAAACTATGGAAGAGTTCCCTGCAGCAGTGAAAAACTCAAAAAGGAAGCATTGGATTTAATTGTTTATAACTGGAAATCGGAAGTTTTTTCCAGAGTACATCTTGTAGTACTAGTACTATTTCTGCATCTCTTAGACCAATAATTGTGCCTATGTTGGGATTAATTGTTGAGAGCCAAATTAAATTTGATTGATTAGACTAGGAAAGAAGGATTTTCTTATGCTAAGTAGGTGAAGGTTGTGTTTGTGAAACAAGTTAATGGATTTTGCATACTATTTAGCACATATGGGCTGAACATTCCCCCTTTTTGGCATCAATATATTAATGATAACACTATTTTGCTTCCATTTTTCTTGTATGTAGCATTAAATGATGCACTGAAAGAGGAGATTCAGCATTTGAAAGTACTGACTGGCCAAACTATTCCGAACGATGGACCAATGATGAACTTTCCTCCATCGTTTGGAGCCAACCAACAATTTTATCCCAACAATCATCCTATGCACACTCTCTTGACTGTCCAACAGTTTCAGCAACTCCAAATTCATCTCCAGAAGCAGCAGCTGCAGCAGCAGCAGCACCACCAGTTTTCACAACATCAACTACACCAATTTCAGCAGCAACAACTTCGGCAACAGCAGCAGGAGCAGCACTCACAACAATTGCGTGCTTCAATGCATTCTCCAAGCCAGAAAGAGAACAGTTCAGATGTCAACCCTTCATCAAAGGATTAATTGCGGAATAGAAATGGGCGGATGTGGAAATGGGCGGATTTGTGGAGCTTGAAGGGGTCAGTTATTGTCCAAATCTTTGGTGTTCCGATTATGGTGTCAGATATGTCCATTTTCTGTCTGTTGTGTGTGTGACTAGATGCGTCTGTGTAACTATTTCGTAGGCAGTTTATATTTGGATTTATGTTCAGGATTTGAGATGTGGCGGTTGATCTATTTGTAGGAGTATTATGTTGGATTTAGTTCGTGGTTGAATTGTGGGAGTGATTTCATTCATTTATTTTAGTCATGTAGCACATGTTTTGGCGAATATATTGGCGGTAGTCTTGTATTTAAAATTTTCAAAATGCTCTCTCTCTCTCCCACTCTCTATTGTTGGTTGTGTTTTTGGAATGTTGAAAGTGCTTATGTATGATTACTTGTGCTGTTAGTATTTGAAATTGCTTTTGCAGGAACTGTTTTTAGAGTCATTATATGTTTTGTGAAAGCAGGTTGAAGAGAAATGGTATGCAAGAAGATAAAGAGTATGAATCAAAGAGCTTGTTGAAGGAGCACTAGAAGAGGCTCGCCAACATCAAATTGGGCATTAAATACGCAGAACTGCATGCCATTTCTTAGATTTGCACACATGTAAATATGCACAAGTGCCATCTCACTACAAGAAAATTGGCCTATAACCACGTTTTTGTTATGGCATTTTTTCAAAAAATGCCGTTTCAAAGATTTTTAAAATACTTTGCAGACAACTCATTTTAAAAAACACGCGTCCTACTTATTAACATATATCACCTTTTTTAAGGCCCACGCTTTTTTCATTTTGTTCATTTCTCAGAGTCCCAAGATAGATCTAGGGTTCTGTCTCTTCATCACTCTTCTCTTTCTTATGGTGAAACTAGATCGAGCATCGTAGGCTCTGATTTACGATCTCTCTATCCACCTCTCTCCATCTTGGCTCAAAGCTCTCGATCAGTCCGATTTGAAGATTAATTTTGTGAGTCTCATTCTCTGATTTTTTTGTTTTTGTTTATATATGAACACAGATCTGTATCTACGATCTTTGATCTATGTGATATATATATATATATATATATACACACTAATTTATGTTAAAGAGAACACAGACTGATCGATCGATCGATTGATTTTTAGTCTATTGATCGATATTGAACACGCTCTCTCTCTCTCTGCATTTGATCGATTGATTGCTTTCGTTCAGATCTGTAAGTTTTCGTTCAGATCTCTCTCTGTAAGTTTTTGTTCAGATCTGTAATTATTTAGGATTTTTTTTATTATTATTTATGTTTTTGATTAGTAGTGTATGTTAATGTTAATGTTTTTGAATTATTTTTTTGTTATTTCTAATCTGAATATGGCAGCAGAGTTTTATCTATTTTCATCAACTTTTGTCGTTTCTTCTGAGCACTTATCGTCATTGGTAAATGCTCTCAATCATCTAGAGACCTTAGGGATATCTTTCATTTTCTTATATATATATATATTCATTTTTCTTTTAACACAGCATGACTGTTACTTTATTAATCAATTAAACTTTTCATTGATTAGCAGTTGCAATCATTATTTAATTAGTTTATTTGTCAATATAATTTTTTATATTAGATCCCATGCTCTTCCTGTTAAGTGTCATTACTTTTTATGGATTAAAAGATTGAAATCAAGAAATGGTTTGTTGTTTAATCTCCTTTTAGAATAAATATTATGTTTACTTTATTATGCCTCTGTATGAATAATAAGCAAAACAGATCAAGTCCTGTTTCTTGATTTTGTTATTGCTAGTGTTAGAATCAAATATATGTTTGCTCTTTACTTAACAGCATTTTCAATGTACTATAATTGTGTTTTGGGGAATGTGGATCATCTAAAATAGGAGCCTTTTATTCTTTTCTTGTCAACCTATGTCTCACTAATAAGTCACAACTTTTGGGTTTTGTCTTCTGTAGGAAATTCCAATTCGGAAGAAAGAAAGAAAATGAAAATATAGATTATATACCAAAGCTCCAAACTAGCCCCTTCCATATCACTTCCCCTAGAGATTGTTTCATGTTGATTATTTGCTTATGTAACTGCTAAAGTGATTTCACCTTCTGCATTTGCATAACAAATTTGGTTAATTTTGAAATTACAATAGGAAGTTACAGATGGTAGCAGGCTAGCAGCCCATGATTTTTTGAGACTTTATCTAAAAAATCAAAATTTGAGCTTATCTTTCTAGTTTTTGCACAATTGGGACTTTGGACAATAAGAATTTTTAATAATTTTTTTTTTTTGTGAAACATTAGGCCACCGAGCTAAGGTAACTCCCTCAACATCCCATTTGCCCCACCAACAATTTAAAAATAAAAATTAAAAATTAAAAAAAAAAATGGAGGAAGAAGTTTAAATGCTCAATCTATAATTCCAATGACAGTATAGCCCCCATACATGTAGGCCCTCACATCATAATGGAATGTGATTTTAGCCCCCTCCCCTCCCTGTTCTAATATCCCTGTTCATATTTGTCCATTTACAGTGGTGGCAATCCTATTGCCTACTAGGTTCTCTCACCACCAGTTGGACTGGATTTTTATCTTAATTTGGGGAAAAGATGATTGTTTTGGACAAGATTAAATTTGAATTTTCATAAATTAGTTTTTTATTTTAATTTTTATTTTAAACATCTATGAGAGGAAGTTAGGCTGCACCCTAGGGAAGAATTTGGAGAAAATATTTCTAGAGCATAGATACAAATTGGCTTGAAAGAACCTGTAAGCAAATGGTAATTATAAATGATCTATAATTGTTCGTCTAATGGATAAGGTGTTTTTTTTTTTAATTATATCAAGTGTGATGTCCGGTTCGAGTCGTTTTGTTAGAACTACTTCCCTTTCCCCTATTACCCTCTTACCAATTTTTCTTTTTCCTACTCCGGTTCGAGTCGTTTTGTTAGAACTACTTCCCTTTCCCCTGTTACCCTCTTACCAATTTTCTTTTTCCTACATATAAATAATATTTTTAAAAATGGCCTACTGCAATTTGCATCATTGTTATGGCTGTGTTGAGGGCCTTTGGGTTTCAACTAGGGTGGGGTTGATCTTGTTAGTGTTCCCTTCTTAGTGGCCTATTGCAATTTGCATCATTGTTATGGCTGTGTTGAGGGCCTTTGGGTTTCAACTAGGGTGGGGTTGATCTTAGCAGTGTTCCCTTCTTAGCTGCAAATGGTTTAGAGTCTTGCTCATCATGGGCTCATTTCCAGGATTTTTATTGACTATAACTTTCAATAACAAGCAAATCATACGTCGCACCAAATACAATACATAAAAACCCAATCTTCATGTAAAAATGTGTGGAGTGGAAGCATGCTTTACCCAAACATTTTTCCACTATTAGGGAAGTCTATTGCTGTAAAAAAATCCAGGTGAAGGTTTCTAGTACTAAATCCATTTTACATCTAATCTCTAGGTGATGTCAAGTTTATTATATTTTTATGGCATGTCTGGTTTGCTAAAGGAGATCCTGCTTCACCGGTACTTCAGCAAGGTATTCTAATACTTTCTGTCTACCAATAAGGTGGCTTCCTCTTTCTTCTCCTTTTAAGTCATAATTTGTATATTTCTCTGTTTGTTGTTTTCACATAATGTCCATTTATCTTTTTTCTTTTTTCCTTTTCCTGCTTTAACAGATTTTAAATACCTCAAGTGTTATGTTAGAATCTTTATGCTTACTTGTAAACTTGAAGTTATTGCTAGCTTTAGATCTAGTTAGATTGGATCATATACTTGCTTGATTACATAATGGATATATGTAGTCAGCACATACGAGTTTTGAAGTCAAAATTGTGTTTCCTTAAGCGTGGTACACTGACTGCTTGCCTCTCTTCTTTGTATTCGACAGTTTGTATTCTTGCTTCCCATCTTTCAGTCATTTGAATTTGTTCACCAAATCCTTGCCTTTCTGCTGTGTTTGATATGAGCAGCATTTGAGGGTAGTACTGCAGATCCTTAGGGAGAAGAGATTGTGTGCAAAATTTAAGAAGTGTGAATTCTAGTTGAGCAGTGTATCCGTTTTGGGTCATATGGTGAGTAAAGATAGGGTATCTGTGGATAGCACAAAGGTGGTAGAAAATCATTGATTGGCCACGACCTACTTCTGTGATAGAGGTACGTAGCTTTCTAGGGTTTGCTGGATATTATAGACAGTTTGTGGAAGGATTCTCCCGTATTGCTTTGCCACTTACCAATCTCACCAGGAAAGGGGTAAAGTTTGAGTGGAATGATGATTGTGAGCGTAGTTTCCAAGAGTTTAAACAGAGATTGACATCAGCTCCAATCCTTGCCTTACCTACAGATGGAGGTGGTTTTGTGATTTATAGTGATGCTTCACGATAGGGTTTAGGATGTGTGCTCATGCAACATGGGAAGGCGATTGCTTATGCGTCACGATAGTTGAAAGTACATGAGAAAAATTATCCTACGCACGACTTGGAGTTAGCAACAGTGATTTTCACTTTTAAGATCTGGCGACATTATTTGTATGGCGAGTCATGTGAGATTTACACTGATCATAAGAGTTTGAAGTATATTTTCATACAGAAGGAACTAAATTTGAGGCAAAGAAGATGGCTTGAGTTACTAAAAGATTTCGATATGAATGTTTTGTATCATCCAGGGAAGGAAATGTGGTGGCGGATGCCTTGAGTAAGAAGGTCGCAATTGGAGATACAGCTGCTTTGTGTATTAAGAGTTGTTTTGTGGAAGACATGAGACGTTTGAGGCTTGAGGTTCTTACACCTGGTAATAGGGCTTCTTGTAGTCAATTGACAGTTCAGCCAACCTTGAGAGAACGGATTCGTTTAGCATAGGAGATTGACCCTCAGTGTGAGCGTATTAAAGGAGAGATGGCAGAGGGTAAGAATGTAGACTTTGTGGTTAGTGATGATGGGTTGCTTAGATTTCGTAGCCGAATTTGTGTTCCTGCTAGTGGTGATTTGAAGAAGGAGATTATGACGGAGGCACATAGTTCTAGTTACAGCATTCATCCTAGAAGCACTAAGATGTATCGGGATCTTTATGAACATTTTTGGTGGAATGGTATAAAGGAGATATTGCAGAATTTGTGGCTCAGTGTTTGGTGTGTCAACAAGTTAAAGTAGAATATTAGAAACCTACGGGGAAACTACAACCCTTACCTATACCAGAATGGAAGTGGGATCATGATACCATGGACTTTGTGTGTGGTTACCTCGTACTAGTAGTAATCACGATGCAGTTTGGGTTGTTGTTGATAGATTAACCAAGTCAGCACATTTTATTGCAGTTTGGATGAACTATTCTCTAGCTCGATTTGCACAGTTGTATGTGAAGGAGATTGTTAGATTGCATGGTGCACCTGTGTCAATAGTGTCAGATCGGGACCCTCGTTTTGTGTCTAAGTTTTGGGGTGCGTTACAGTCAGTTATGGGTACTTAGTTAAATTTTAGTTCAGCTTATCACCCTCAGACAGATGGGCAATCAGAAAGAACTATTCAAACCCTTGAGGATATGTTGAGGGCTTGTGCCTTGGAGTGGAGAGGTAAATTCAGCTTATCACCCTTAGACAGATGGGGTATCGGAGAGGACTATTCAAATCCTTGAGGATATGTTGAGGGCTTATGCCTTGGAATGGAGAGGTAATTGGGATGACTATTTGCCGCTCATGGAGTTTGTGTATAATAATAGTTATCTTTCTAGTTTGGGAGTAACTCCTTATGAGGCTTTGTATGTGAGGAAGTGTAGGTCTCCTTTGTGCTGGTATGAAGTTGGTGAAAGGCAAATGTTGGGACTTGATTTGGTGGAGGATACTACACAGAAAATTATCACCATCAGAGAGAGATTATTGACTGCTCGGAGTAGACAAAAAAGATATGCTGATCATCGTATGAGAGACTTAGAGTTTCATGCGGGGGATATGATATTCTTGAAAGTATCACCATGGAAAGGAGTGATCAAGTTTGGAAAGAAAGGAAAGTTGAGTCCTAGATACATTGGTCCATTTGAGGTATTAGGGAAGGTTAGTGAGGTTGTGTACCGTGTTGTTTTACCCCCTAGGTTGGCAGGAGTGCATAATGTGTTTCACGTGTCTATGCTGAGAAAATATGTGCACAGTCTGTTGCATGTGATAGATTATGAGCCGCTTCAGATTAGAGAGGATTTTTCGGTCCATGCATGACAAAACGCTTGAGGTGGTGTGCATTTCTGGAGCATGGCACCTTGGCAAACTTCAGGTACAAAATCTTGGTTTCTGCTAATCCTCCAAATCATTGTAATAAGTGATTGAAATGGGTTCACCGAGCTGCCAAAATGTATGCTTCATAGTAAGTTTATTTGTATATGCTACCACAATGAGTTCTATGTGTATACCTATGTTTTGGTTTCATGGGTACTGTCCTTTTCTTTTCTTCTCTTTCTTCCTTTCCCAAAATCCCTCTACAGGTGTGTGGGAGAGAAGAAATAAAATTTACTTTTTGGAAGCTAAAATCTTGTTAAAACAGGTGTTTAATTTTTAAAAGATTATGAGATGTTATCTTCAATACTAATTTAAAAAGTATATGTGCATGTTAAAAGTTTATGTTCACCTTTATAATGCCTAGCCTTTCTTACTACTATACTATATGAGCCTAAGCCTTGCATAGGAAAACCTTATCTGCGCAAATCTGTCACAACTACTATAACTTTGGCTCTAGTATCCCCTAATTGGTTTGTACTACTTCATTTGTATTATGTTAATCTGAAATCTAAATTTGATTGCTTTTTAAATACACATAAAGGACTCTTTTTATTTGTCTTCTTCTTCCTTTTGACTAGCCTGTTTGGAAATACACCTTACTCTCTGTCTCTATCATCAAATCACTCTATTAGAACATAATATTTTGGGTTAATTTCATAGATATCTCTTCGGCTATCATTTAATATCTCTTAAATCTATCTCTCAATTAAAAAAATCGTTAGACTTGGACATTGCAGCACTTTTGTTACTACCTTGTGAGGGAGATGGTGAATTGTTTGGTGGATAGACAATAGTACTGTGCATAGCAATAGTATCAGGAAAGGAAGCATTATTAGAAATGGCTGATATATATATATATATATGCAGATTTGAGTCTTGAATTTGACGTACTTGGAATTAAGTGGGTGCAAAATTGGAATGAGATATGCTATTGCAAACTTGCTAGCTTAATGTCCTATTGGGTGATGGATATATGGATATATGTTTTATGTTGAACTTTATGATTACTGATATCAATATGGATTGATGATTGTTTTCTTTATGAAATTTTCTTTTGTTGAGAATTAGTATCTGTAGCTTATATTTCCATTTCACTGTTATAATTACCTATTGAGAATTAGTCTTTTGTTGAGAATTAACTGTTTACGGATAATTGTTTTCTATTGTTTATGATTATTGATATCAACTTCTCTCTCTCTCCTCCCCCCCCAAATTGTATACTTGTTTTTAAGTTCAGGGAACAACAGAGATAAATGGAAAAAGTGCATTGGAGACAAAGATGAAGAGGCTAGATTACAAGTCAACAAAACTCATATTCCCAATGTAATTGCAGAGACGCATGACACTGCAAAACGGGGCATCCTATTTTGGTGAACTAGGTTGATATGGTAGGAAAAGGATTTGTATGTGAATGTGGTTATTGTGAATGAGAATATGAATATCAAGTTGGCTTAAATGCCCAGATTCCTATTTTGGCTCAAATAGAGGGGTACAATGATTGTGGACTATTATTTGATAAGATTTTACTATGTGAATGGGAATTATTATTTCATATTAGTGCTATTTTTTAGTTTTATTATTGGTATTTTTTTAGGTCAATAACATAAAATCAGCATAATTTTTTTTTTTAAAAAAAAGGCTATCACAGCGTTTCTAAAAACGTCGCTAAACGGTTGGATTTTTCTTTGGCGAAAAGAGATAAGATGGCATTTTAAAAACGTCGCTAAATATAACTTTTAGCGGCATTTTTAGAAAACACCGTCTATAGTAATATAGCGACGTTTCTAAAGCATCACAAAGTTATAGCGACCGCCGCATCTTCGACGTTTGGTGCTGAACGTCACAAAAGGTTTTGATGGCGTTTTGTGACCGTTAGCGGCGTTTTTTAAACGCCGCTAAAACCCTCATTTCCAGCAGTGTCTCTTCGTAGATCAAGTTTTATCTTTTTGGATTGGGTTGTGATTCTTGGCAATGGTTTCCATATAACAATTGAATTGTATTGACAATATGTATGATTGGATCAAATGAGTTTAAACTTCTTTTTTTGGGTATTGTAATGGCTACACGGGTTTTGATAATCTTGTTTTGTGTTTGATAATGTATTTTATGTTATGCTAATCTAATGTTCTTACCAATCAAGTGTCAAATTGTGTTTTGATGTCAGTTAATCTCTTTGAAAATTGGTTGAGATTGCATTAGGCTATGGCAAGAATGCCAACACTATAGACCAATTCTTTTAGGCCAATCAATTATGTATACAAGCCACGAGTCTTGGTCCAAATAGACTACTGCAATTGAATTGATTATGAATACAAGCCACAACACATTTGCAAGAATCGATTTTACAATCAATTGTACAAGACAATTTATAAAAACAAAGTGTTTTATAATCGATTGTTTAATTGATTATGTAATCATTTGTCATTCCAACTCAATTGAAAGTCAATCAATTGTTCATAAAATCCAAGTATCCACTTTTTTTTATGTTGACATAGTTCTTGTTGCAAGTTATATTTTTTTGCATTCAAGTGGTTTGTAAAATGCATCATAGAAGCAATTTGTTACAAACTAGTATTTGATCAACTAGTATTGACAAATGCTGTGAAAAAAGGATATCATAGTATTCAAGAAATGCTATCAAAGAGCTAGCAATTACTAAAAGATTTTTATCGTAACACTTAGTGCATACAATGAAATATCTTTAACAGCAAAATTAGCCAAAATTCTATTTTCATCCAAATATATAAAAACACTCAACTAAAAAAATATAAAAATTCAATTCATTAAACATAAACTCCAATAACAATAATTATATCGTCCTCACAAAATAGTCGGGAAAAAAGTTCTATTTGCTGCCTAAATTTTTTATCGCTAAATATATATTTACTGCGACGAAACCATTTTATAGCTAAAACAGTTTAGTCGCCAAAAGTGATATTTTCCCGACTAAATATGTTAGTCACCAACTGTCACATTCCATAACGAAATATGTTAGTCGCCAATTGTTACATTCCTCAACGAAACATATTAGTCACCAAAAGTCACATACCACAAAACATGTTAGTAACCAAAAGTAATATTTGTGTGACTAAAACTTTAGTCGGCAATAAACCTATTCACGACCAAACACTTTGGTTGCCAAAATTAATAATTTTACCGACTATTTATTTAATAGCCAAATGTACCTTTTGCCAAACAACATTTTGATTGCTAAATATGAGTGGTGTGACACTGACTAACAATACTACTTGTCTTTCCCGACTAATCACTTAGTCACCAAAAGAGAAAAAACAAAACCAATTTTTAATCACCAATTCAATCCTTTTTGTTTATGAAAATATAATAATTCATTCAATCAATTCAATATAACCTCTAAGTTGCAAGAATAATTCAAACCAACAAAATCAATTGAATTATGAACATCCAACAAAATATATAAATCATCCAATTCTTAAACCTTTTTAATTAAAATCATCATTATTTTAAGTTTTCATCTAGAAGTAATTCAAAATTACATAATCGTCCAATCCAAAATGTCACGTAATCTATATAATCATCCAATTCACATCCATCTAGCTTAAAAATTTAAAACATAACAAGTACTTGTTATTATGTTTCAAATTTTTATCCATACGCATTTATTTAAAAATATAACTAATGGTCTACCCAAATATTTTTCATACACATCCAAAAATATATAATCTTTCAAAAAATGAAACAAATGCCAACTAGTCCTGTACAATTTCAGCTTGTTGCACGAGTTCATCCATCTGTACCAAAAAAAAAAAAAAAAGATAAAAAAAATGTCCGGTAATGTTTTTATGAAAATATTTGCACATCAAATGATTGTAAAATTGGACCCCAAAAAAAAAGATCTATGGAAAGTAGCTAGGTAACATGAACAAGAAAGTAAAGGTAAAAATTAAAATGATACTTTTTATATTTTTTCCTCATATCAGCATACAAACTAATCAGACAATGGTAAGCAACACACACAAGCCATTTGAAGAGCTCCCAACAGAAATAAAACTACATTAAACTATTTTTCAACTACATATTGACAGCAATCACAACACTTTGAATCTTATACAATATACAATATATAGCCATAGATGAGCTGGCTTCAACAGCTACAAAAAAATATATAGAAAATAAATACCAGTTGATGTGCTGAATTATCATATAGCAACAATCATTCTATTTTTGTCAATTAAACTCATATACCTTGCACATGTCAGGATTAGGTTCAAAGATTCAAAGGCTTCTCAAAGTCATCGTATAAAAGGAACACAACTCACCTGAAGAGAAATTTAAATATACGTTCCAAGGGGTTGACATTCTTGGTAAGAAATCATCCTAGAAACATTAAGTTGAGATGGCATGTTAGTACACTATTGGAGCAATATTCGCTAGATAAATTTAACCCATATTCAAAAACTCAACAACCAATTAAACAAAAGTTAAGAGTTGAGTGATGTGAAATTTTATAAGAGTGTTCCTAACTATTTTCTAATTATATTTTTGGTAATAATAGCCACATGCATCCACATACATTCACTTCAACTTGCCGCATTCAAAAATTTAAAATTACACACCACAAACAAGAAGAAACGATAATCTAGACCCTTTCATTAATATGGAAAATCATATTGGCAATTTAGCATACATTCTAGAAGAAACTATTTAACATTAATTTTTCTTTAAATTTCTTAAAGAATATATTGCATAAATTGATAAAATGTTCAACTATTTTTTTTTTAATTGTATTAAAGACTCCTATATGTAAATCCACAACAATTGACAAATTAATGTTTATAAATTATAAATCCATAATGGTACACCAAAAGGTAGTGGTATGCTCATGATAACTAATTGGTACACAGCTACATCACCTAAAATTCTGATCGAATATGAGAAACTTAACCTTCTAGGTTGGAGAAAATTTGGAAGAGACATACAAACTACTAGCTTTTCATTTGAAACTTATAATCAACATGAAGAGTGAATTGATTGCAATTTTACCTGACTACTATCCCCATCCACAAGATCACTCATGGCAATTCTATGCTCATACTCAACCAGAGGCCCTGCTTTACTTACTTCTACAATCAAATCAAATTAAACCCAAATCAAAATGTGAACATCATGCTAAAGATTATTTTAAAAAAAAATTAAAAGGACAGAAAAACAACCTCCTCGTCACAAAGCCAAACCCTCGACTTCTTACACTTATCTTGCCATAGTGCTTCACTTCATCAGCCACCTCTGATGGAGTCAGTTTTGCACCCCATTTATAGCAGAGATTCTAAAAGAAGAATGAAATTGTAACAAATAAAAAAAATATGAACAAATTTAAAGCCAACAACCTTATATATTTAATCATGCATAATGAAACAAGCTCACTTAATCTTCTGAAAGTTGAATGTCAAAAAGTTTCACGCTTGAGATATACCAAGACTTCTATTTACAACGAATTTTTCTAATATTTATATTTTTTAATGTCAAACTTATATTTACGACATGCATTGATATGTCAAACTCATGCATGCATAACCTAAATATATCCTTCGAATGATTTCATATATGGAAGCTTATAAATAATGATGCTTTCTATTTTGAGGTCTGTCTTAAGTATTAGGAAATTTAAAACAAACCTGGAACATGGATACAGGACCGCAACAAATTTCAATCAGCAACAAATTGTAAAAGAGGTAATAATTTGAAAACAAAAAAAATAGAAACAAAAGCAAACCATTCAAAATTTCAATCAGCAATCAAAGAATGTAACCTATTCAAATCCACAACCCAACAAACACACACTATAGCGACCCTGGTTTTTCCTTCCTTTGTATACTGTATTCTGGACTTGGTTCCGTGGACTTGTTTTTGTATCATTATCACTTCTAGCCTTTACTCTTTGTATTAGGGTCTTAGGTTGTGATGGGCAGGTTTGGAACAGGTTGGCTGCACTTTGAAACCAAAAGGTGATGCCCAGATTTTGGCCTTCACGCTCGAGCGGAAGTTTTAACGCTCGAGCGGGCTCTTCGTTGTTGCTTATACGCTCGAGCGGGAGTTTTGACGCTCGAGCGTGTTTTTCCATCTCCCAGTACTTTACTCTGCAGTCCCTCCGCTCGAGCGGAGAGTTTGGCGCTCGAGCGGGTACCATCGCCTGCAAAACTTATGGAAGTGTGCAATCGACGCTCGAGCGGCTCTTTTCACGCTCAAGCGTGAGTCTGTGTCTGACGCTCGAGCGGGGATTTTCACGCTCGAGCGGGGAGTCGACTACTTCAGTCCGAGATTTCACTTTTTGGATCACTTTTTGACCTACTTTTCTTTCTTAACTTTTAGAAAACCGCCCCTTGAGAGTCTCTCTCTCTTTCTCTCTCTCTAAACCTGCCTTCTCTCTAAAAAATTGATCTACCTAGGGTGAGTATCTAACCTTGGTCCTTTATTAAAAAGATAGAGTGAGTCAAGGGCTTTCATTCAATCTGAACGTTTGGTGGTTTGGAGCACTTTGGAATTTGGGTATTCATCTTCGTCTTCTCCATTCGGGTTATTTTCTTCAAGGTAGGGATTTCCTACTCCATCCTATAAGTTTTGTTCTAAGTTTTGGTATTTTGATATGTTGGGAGTATTTTGGTAATTTTGGGAAAAACCCTAGTTGTATAATTAATTTAAGGAAATTGGGTAATTTAAGAAAATTGGGGAAATATGGTTAAATTCATGGAATTGAGGAATTCATTGATTAAATGGTGTAGTTGGATAATTAAAATCACTCGCCTATTGAATTGTTGATATATTTATTTCCAGTCTAGAAAAAATATGATTATTTTATTGGATAGTCTGATCAAAAATCTCTCATAATAAAATTTTAATGTATTAAAGATAAACACAAAAAGTTTTTTTGAAAAGTCTAGCACGCAACACTATTATCAAAATATTTTTAGTGATGATATAACTTTTGATCTAGATGTCAGTTTTTAATAAAATTTGTATTTTTAGAATCCTCTCATCAAGTTCTATCAAATAAGATTCATGGTGATTTTAATATTCTTCAAAAAAAAAAATACCATCGAAATTAACGTAAACAGTAAAATTTTATTCTGTTTCACAGTAAAATTTGTATAGCAAAATTAATAACTCAAGAACACACTACCAGAGTAAAATTTTATTATCATTTTGGAACAGAGCATCAGAAAAAAATAGTGTACGAATTAAACAACAACTAGAGATAAAATTTTACTTTCATATTTATAAACTAATAAACAAACACCATTACAACAATCAAACAGTGAAAAAAACGAACTCCAACTCTAATTGAAACAAACTCTAACTCTAACTCTAACTCGAACAGAGATTGAATGAAGATCTTCAACTCAATGAAGCTCTGTTATATACAACTCAATGAAGCTATACTTGATGAACCTCTCTTGCTTTACAGCTTGATAAAAGCAGTGATTAATCTCGCGCAACTTCGAATTGGAAAACAATAATCAATGAAGGAGAACTACTCTAGGGAAGGAACGACAATTATATTGAGAGATTTGATTCAAATCTCTCACGAATATATGGATAGATAAGATTATCCAAAAAGAAATTTTAAAAAAATGTTACTGTATCCTCCATCAAGTACGTGCCTCTATGTGAGGGAGTTTATGAAGAAGAAGAATTACAAGTTGTCCTTTTCACCAAAATGAGGCCCAATAGAGGAGTTTTGGCCAAATTTTCCTATTTTATATAGTAAAAATCAATGTCGTAAGTTTTACATTATTTTTTAAATTTTATAAGTATATATTGCAGTCTCACACTTCTCTTCTCATCTTTAACCCCCCCTCTCTCTATAATTCCCCAAGCTCAGTTTGTTCAGGATGAAATAGGTAAAAAATTAAAAAAAAAAAAGAAAAAAAAATTAACTTCTATGATTTGTTTAGCTTGAAAGTGGTAGAAAATATAAGAAAAGTAATTTTCTTGTACAACCCATATTAGTATTGTAACTAATTTTTTATTTCTTGCAAAAAAATGCAAGAAAATACAAGAAAAATTGAATGTGTGAATTATATATAACTAAACTTTTAAATTTTTCTATCTTTTTCTTACAAAATTTGTATCTTAATCAAATGCTTGTAAGAAAATATATTTTCTTTTCTATTTCTTTTCTTTCACTTCATTTCTTTTAGTTTTATTTTCTACCAAATTTTCTTTTTCATCAAAAGGAGCCTTAAGGATAAAATTGAAAAAACAAAATTAAAAGATGAAACATTATTCATATATATTGGTCCCTCTATATTGAAATCTTGGATCCATTCCCAAACATCAGAGTGCACAAAAAATAAAATTAAAAAAATTAAAAAATGAGAAGTATTACAACATTAATTACGTGGTAATTAAGAGTTCTAAATCAATGCCAAACTCGCACTAATATGGAATAGTTATGTTCTCCCTAATGAGGCATGTTTGTTCGCCTTAAAAAAGCTACAAATACAAAAATCGATTACATAATCAAAACACACAATATATATGACAATTTGTTAGTAAAGTCTATTTATGAAAATTTTTATGTATCTATATACATTTTGTGTCCAATTCTATAACTGATTTATATATTTGTAGATTTGTTTAATAGAGATAGAAATGGTCAGAAAACAATGGATTGACAATTCATTCATCTTTTATGAGCATTTTCAAGGAACTTTTTAAATAAGGCTAGTTAGTTATTATAACTAACATTATCATGCTTTAGTCACTCAAATAGGTTAGTTATTATAATAGTTATTTTAACAAAAAAATTCAAGGTTAGCTACATTTAAAGAGCCTTGAGAGGTTTTTTAAACAGTTTGTGTATGATTAGGTAAAATAAAGAGTAGCGTTCGAATGTATAGATAAAAAAATAATAATTAAACAAAATAAAAAAAAAACATTTTTTTATATTTTAATGAAGACTATGATTGGTGTTGCTCTTATACCACAACTTACAACCACCGTGTAATTATTAAGTAGTACTGAAGCATTATAGTATTATTATATGGATGGGTCAAACTTACCTTTGTTTGGTAGTGTGGAGATGAGGGATGACCACTTTATTAT